GGCTTCCCCCGCAACTTTAAAAAGGAGGCACAATGTCTGGTAGGCCTCTCTGGATTTCAGAGGTAACATATCCCTCATTTGGGTGTGTTGCTTTGGCCAATTTATCAAGTGACTTGGAAAGCTGCTAGTTTCAGTGGGGCCCAGAACAACAGAAGGCTCTGCAACAGGTTCAGGCCGCCGTGCAGGCTGCTCTGCCACTTGGGCCATATGATCCAGCTGATCCAATGGTGCTTGAAGTGTCTGTAGTAGATAGAGATGCTGTTTGGAGCCTTTGGCAGGTTCCTATTGGTGAATCATAACGCAGACCCTTGGGGTTTTGGAGCAAAGCCCTGCCATCCTCTGCAGATAACTACTCTCCTTTTGAGAAACAGCTTTTGATTTATTACTGGCTTTAGTAGAGACTGAACGCCTAACCATGGGCCACCAAATCACCATGAGGCCTGGGCTGCCCATCATGAACTGGGTGTTGTCTGACCCACAGAGGCATAAAGTTGGACGTGCACAGCAGCACTCCATCATTAAATGGAAGTGGTATATCAGAGATCGAGCTCGAGCAGGACCTGAAGGCACAAGTAAGTTGCATGAGGAAGTGGCCCAGATGCCTATGGTCTCCACTCCAGTCACATTACCTTCCCTCTCCCAGTCTGTTCCTATGGCCTCATGGGGAGTTCCTTATGATCAGTTGACTGAGGAAGTGAAAACTCGTGCCTGGTTTACAGTTGATTCTGAGCAATATGCAGGCACCGCTTGAAAGTGGACAGCAGTGGCACTGCAGCCCTTTTCTGGGACTTCCTTGAAGGGAAATCCTCCCAGTGGGCAGAACTTTGAGCTGTGCATCTGGCTGTTCACTTTGCATGGAATAAGAAATGGCCAGATGTATGACTGTATACAGATTCCTGGGCTATGGTTAATGGTTTGGCCAAATGGTCTGGGACTTGGAAGGAGCATGATTGGAAAATTGATGACAAGGATGTGTGGGGAAGAGGTATATGGGTAGATCTCTCTGACTGGGCCAAAGGAGTAAAGATATTTGTGTCTCATGTGAATGCCCCCCAAAAGGTGACCTTGGCAGAGGAGGACTTTAACAATCAGGTGGATAGGATGACACATTCAGTGGAAAGCAGTCATCCTTTTTCCCCAGTGTGGTGGTTACTTTTGTGTGTCAACTTGGCTGGGCCTAGTTGAGTGGTTGGGTAGCTGGAAGTAGTATTCCCCATGATGAGACTGGTAATCAACTCCATGGTGGGATCTACCACAAGCAGCTGAGTAGCTGCCTTTGGGTATGTGGTCTGCTTCCCATATGTAAGAAACAGTTTTGAGAATGGTCTCTAGCTTATGGCATGCTTGGGCCCTGCATGTAGCCATGTTGTTGTTCAGCAGCCTGCCATGCTCTGTCAACCTTGGTACTTACAGTGGACTTAAATTACTGGCCTGCTGTGTGGTTTGGTAACATCAGGACTGTGACTTTTTACTTGTCAACTTTGGGTTTGTCAGCCTCAGCAGCTAGCAGCTGTCTGAGTGAAGAAATGCCTCTAGCTCCAGTGGGCCAGGAGCAGGAGGCAGAGCTAGACCCCAAGGTTGAGGGGCTTTCACCTAGCCCCTAGAGCCTGGTACTTTGAATTAGGACTTCTGGCCTCCAAACTGTTTGTTAAGGCCATCCCATTTGTGGTATATTCTTGTCAGAGCAGCACTAGGTAACCAGAACACCCAGCTACTCCTGTCATTGCCCAGTGGGCTCATGAACAAAGTGGCCATGGTGGCAAGGATGGAGGTTATGCATGGGCTCAGCAACATGGACTTCCATTTACCAAGGCTGATTTGGCTACCGCTACTGCTGAGGGCCCAGTCTGTCAGCAGCAGAGACCAACACTAGGTCCATAATATGGAACCATTCCCCAGGGTGATCATCTGGCAACCTGGTGGCAAGTTGATTACATTGGACCACTTCCATCATGGAAAGGATAGCATTTTGTTCTTACTGGAATGGATACTTATTCTGGATATGGATTGGCCTTCCCTGCATGCAGGACTTCTACCAAAACTACCATCCGTGGACTTACAGAATGCCTTATCCACTGTCGTTGTATACTACACAGCATTGCTTCAGATCAAGGGACTCACTTCACAGCAAATGAAGCGCGGCAATGGGCCTATGCTCATGGAATTAACTGGTTTTACCATGTTCCCCATCGTCCTGAAGCAGCTGGCTTGATAGAATGATGGAATGGACTACTAAAACCACAATTACAGTGCCAGCTAGGTAGCAATACCTTGAAGGGTTGGGGCAATGTTCTCCAGGAAGCTGTATATGCTCTAAACCACCATCCAATATATGGTGCTGTTTCTCCAGTAGCCGGGATTTATGGGTCTGGGAACCAAGGGGTGGAGACAGGAGTGGTAGCACTCACTATTATCCCTAGTGACCCACTCAAAAAATTTTTGCTTCCTGTCCCTGCTACCCTATTCTCTGTGGGTCCAGAGATCTTAGTCCCAAAAGGAGGAACACTCCCACCTGGAGACACAATACTGATTGCATTGAATTGGAAATTAATAATGTCATCTGGCCATTTTGGCCTCCTTATACCTCTGGATCAACAGACAAAGAAGGGCATTACAGTACTATCTGGTGTGATAGATCCTGATTACCAAGGGGAAATTGGATTGACATTACACAATGGAGGTATGTCTCTTAGTACTACCATGCTCTGTGATTAAAGTCAATGGAAAACTACAGCAACCTAATTCTGATATGACTACTAATGGCCCAGACCCTTTAGGAATGAAGGTTTGGGTCACCCCACCAGGCAAAGAACCACGACCAGCTGAGATGCTTGCTGAGGACAAGAGAAATACAGAATGGGTGGTGGAAGAAAATAGTTCTGAGTATCAGCTATGACCATGTGACTGACCAGTTGCAGAACTGAGGACTGTGATTGTTATATTTCTTCATTGTATATGTGCATCAAATATTTTTGTTCCTTCTGTATGAACTGTTGTTGTTGCTGTTATGTGCCATCCAGTTGGTCCTGACTCATAGCAACCCCTCCTTGGGTTTCCAAGGAGGTATCACTACAGAAGTAGATTGCCCAACCTTCCTTCTGAGGAGTGGCTGGTGGGTTTGAACCACCACCCTTCTGGTTAGCAGTCAGGTGCCTTAGGCACTATGCTACCAGAGCTCCATGCTATTATATGTGAAAAGAACTCTGATGGTGTAGTGGTTAAAGCATTTGGCCACAAAGCTAAAGGTTGGTGCTTCAAGCCCACCAGCTGCTCTGCAGAAGAAAGATGAGGCAGTGTACTTCTGTGAAGATTTACAGTCTTGTAAACCCTATGGGGCAGTTCTAGTCCATCCTATAGGGTCACTAGGAGTCCAAATCAACTTGATGGCAGTTGGTTTGGATTTTTATTATATGTGGCCATTTCTTTTAATACAGATTTTGGGGTTGTACTTCCCTTGTGATGATGATTACTGTAGTTTTTGTTTGTTTGTTTATCCCCTGTTGGTGAAGGAGAGAAGAACATTCTCTTTGCCCACAGATTAGGGAAGAAGTGTGCTTAGGTGCTCTTGCACCTATTTTGAGTCTCAGCTGCTCGAGGATGTTCTAGGTGGTGAGTGTTGAAGATCAACTCTGCCATATGAAGCCAAGACAGGGGCTAGTCTGGGATGCATCCTCATTGGGCAGATTTTGTTAGCCAGATAGTCTAGAATCATATTTGTAGGTTTATTTATATCTCTTGATTTTACCTAAGCTTTTAGTGGAATCTTATTCACATATTTCAGTTTTATCTCAATTGTGTTACAGAGTAGCAAGGAAAATCTCTTGTGTTCAAACTAGAGCCTGAGTGAGAAATCAGTGTATCCTGAAGCTAGTTAGTAATCATCCAGAAAACAAATGACTCAAATCAATCTCTGCAAGTAAGAGTTGGAGATTTAAAAAAAAAAAAAAAAAAAAAATATTGTGATTTGGGTGAAAGTTTACAGAGCAAATTCATCTTCCACACAGCGGTTCACTTTGTCTCATGACATTGACTGCAATCTCCCACAACGCCACAGCTCCCTTCCCACTCTCTCCCCATAGCCACCTCTTCCCTGTGTCCTTCCCTCCCATGAACTCCTGCCCCCCCAGCTGTCTTCCTGTGTACACACAGCACTTCTGTTCTCCCATGATTGATCTCCAGAGCTGGAGCTTTTTGATACTACTGCCCCTCACCACTTGCAGTTTCTCCCTTGCAGTGCCACACTTGGAGATCTGGGTTTAACTGATAAGGAAAGCAGTAGTTACATTCTACTTCCCTGTAAGGCAGGGGCCTGGGACAGAGAGTCAGGACCTCCGGTGTCTCTGGATACAGAGCAGTTTTGAGACAGCCTTAAATGAAAAGAAGATAATAATGCATCCAGTTCTCATTGTGAGTTGCTGCTTTTTATCTCTATCTCTTTAAGAAGTGTGGAAGCATTCCCTGCTAGTATGCTCAAAGAGCAAGGATGTGATTATCCTGAGGACCTCAAGCGGGAGCCCTCTCATTTACACAGACTCTCAGAAGTCAGTTTTAAGTTCTATTTCCTCTTTCTTTTTGGTCTGTACTCTTCCCTCTTATCTCCTTTCTATTCATTCATTCTCTCTCTCTCTCTCTCTCTAATTCTGTCCTTATCTCTGTCTTAATTTCTGGGACATTTGTATACATTTACCTTTTCACTCTGACCTCAGAAATATATTACTACTTTCTAAAAAAAAAAAAAAAAAATTTAATGTGATTCGGGTGCAAATTAGGAATATATTACTTCTTGAGCTACCTTTTAGGATAATCAGGCTGGGCTTGACTTCTGAATTTTATAAATTTTTGTTTGGAGTAGCTCTCACTTCAAATCATCCCTGATTACCGAGTTTATCTTGGCTATAGTCAGTTCATTTATTTGTTAGTCAGATGCCATGAGACTTACAGTTCTAGTTTCTTTCAATTTTTGGATGTGTGTGCCCTGACACTTCCACAGAGAGGAAGGGTTAGGGGACTGTCTGGATCTGTGGCACCCACTGAGCTCCTGCTATTGCTGCTCTCTCTCCTCGGGCTTTTGGTCTTGGCCTTTCTTGCAGCGATTGTTCTTTTTCTTTCTGACACTCCACGTCTTCCTCTGGAGATCTGTCTCTTTGAAGGTAAGAAGTTCCCTCTTCCCTATAGCCAGAAGCCAAAGAGATTTCTAAATTCCATTTTTTCTTCCTTCGGAATTCCTTTTGTATTGTCACACAGAGAACAGTATCCACCAAAAATGTTATTCCCATTGCCAGATAGAAAAAGACCTGATACCAGACGAGAATTGGTGACTGGAGACCTGGAAAAGAAAAAAAAAAAGATAAAGATAAAAGATACTACTTAAAAACCAGTGGATTCCAACTGAGATATGTTGGAAGACAAGGTTGACTGAGACTTTCTGATACGCCTGTGCCAAATGGAGGTGCTGGTAATTTCATAGGACAGGAAGGAGGTACCTCCAGCTGGTTATATAGTGTTTAGACAAGAGGGCAGACTCCTTGCAAGAGCTTCATTGCGAGGGCCCAGTCAGTAGACTTACTCCTTAGTTTCAGAGACAACTGCTGTCTTTATGCCATTAAATGCTTGAGCTGAATTTGAACTGTTTGAACAAAGTTTTTGTTCTGGAGCTCACAATCCCTTCAGCTTTGTTAAAAATAGATACTTGAGCAGGTAGAAATGGGTAACCCACAAAACTGCTATCTCATCAACCCACCAAGTGGGCTCTTTAAAGCAGGGACTGTACTTGAGTGTCTTTATATCCCTAGGATCATGGCAACAGATAGGAGGAATTCAAAATACTGTTGGTGAAGGAGAGGGTAAGAGGGAGGAAGGAGAGAACGAGAGAGAGAGGGATGGAAAAGAGACAGAAGAAAGACAGGGAGAGAGAGAAGATACAGAAAAGAAAAAAAGAAAAGGAAGGAAGGAGAAAGGAAATAGAGGAATAAAAGGAAAAGAAAAGAAAGGAAATTTAATGAAGTTTGTGAGGAGAAGAGTGAAGTTCTGAATCAAGGATGGAAAGGCCTGTACATGGGCTTTTCCTGAAGAGCTCTCTTCCTCCTTGCTGGGCCATGAATCCCCTTGAACAAATCTCATCCTCATGAAAGAGAAGGGAACACCTTCTCCTGTGTCAGTCAGTTCCCATAATTCTCACTCACCAAGCACTTGAAGCTCCAACTCAGGGCTGCGCTTAATGACATTTCCATCTTCTGTGGCTGCTTCACATGAGTACGACCCAGAATCTTCTCTGTTAGCAGTTAGTATGTGATATTCAGAGGATGTGATCCTGCTTTTCAGGGTCTTGCTGCCCACGTAGAAGGAGAAATAAAGCTGCAAACCAGGCCTCTGTGGGAGCAACTTTGTTTCACAGCTCAGGTTTACTGGCTTCCCCTCTAGGAGGGGGAATGACAAGGATGCTCTCAGCACTGGAGCTGGAAATAGCTCTAAAGAGAAAGTTGACAGGGGATAGGATTGCCTTCTTCAGCATCAAGGTTCTTCTTTATAACAGATAACCTCCACCCTCAGGAAACTTCCTGCCCCTGGAGAAGGCATCTATAGACAATTTCCAGCAAAGATGCATTTCTTGAGTTTTCCCATAGACATAATTACCATCTCCAGCTTGCTCAGACCTTACTGGGGAGAATACCTCTATACATCCCATGCTTCCTTAAATGGCCATAACCAAAAATCCAAACGAAACTCACTGCCATCGAGTTGGATCCAACTTATAGTGACCCCTTCTTGGGTTACCAAGGCGGTATCTCTACAGAAGTAGATTGCCCAATCTTCTGGGGAGTGGCTGGTGTGTTTGCACCACCAGCCCTCTGGTTAGCAGTCAGATGCCTTAGGCACTATGCCACCAGAGCTCCCCTAAATGGCCATGGTATGTATCATGATCATTCTCATCTGGCAGTGGTCAATCAAACTGGACAGTGACTCATATACTAGTCAGTTCACTGACTTATATTACTTGTGTTCCTGGCTTAAAAGATAATCTGGGACAATAATTTCTTTCCTACAGGAATTAACTAAGAGACAGAAAAAAGTTGCTAATGGTTGGTGATTACAGGGGGAAAGACCCTGAAAGAGTGAGGTCTAAGACCATGTGCAAACTGGATCAGGGGAGCTGATCAGTTAGCAAATGCTCAGACAGAAGTGGGACCATATTGTCCCTGAGAGACAGACAGAAAGTATAACCAATTTCTGATGCCTTCCTGGTTTGTAGTTCTGTGAAACTTTCATGAGATTTCATTGGGTTACTTTCCAATAACTTTCCTAGCTACCTTCAGTGAATCTCTATTCCTTGCAACTAAAATAAAACTGATGAAATGAATCATCACATTGCCTTGGCCTCAGTATTAGCTCCTGGGATTACTGTTGGGGTATTGTGGTATACTGGAAAGAGCAGTGGACTGGGACACAGAAGACCTCAGTTTTAGTCTTGGCCCAGTCATTGGTTATTGGGTGGCTTTCAGGAAACTGGTTTTTATATTGAAGTGATGAGTTTACCTGATTTACTATTCTCCCTCTAGGCCTTACAATTATGTCTCTATGACTGGTAAGCTCTTATACCTTTCACAGCGATAGATACTCCTGCTGACGTGTATTTCTCCTTTCCCATGGCTGAGCAGTGATAGGTGCCGTTGTGACTCAGGTCGGTTTTCAGAATGGTGAGTTGAGAGTTGTGAGGAAAAAACTTAAAGGCTTTGTCATTTTGATAGAAAATCACATTGTATACCATCTTATTCTTCCAGCCATGACATCTCAAGGCCAGAGGTTCTCCTTCAGTGAGGACTCGGCTAGAGACCTGGAGTAGCAGCCAGTCTGAAAAATGTGGATCCAAAATGTTTGTCAATAGTGGAGGAGATACAGGGATCCCAAAGCTTTGCCCAGACACTATCTTTTTCTTGTTATAACATTCTAGCTTCAGAGCGCTGCTGAATCTGAAACCCATGTCCCATTCCTAAAATATTTTTAGCTTTGTTGTTGTTATTACGTGCCATCAAGTCGGATCCGACTCATAGCGACCCCTCCTTGGGTTTCCAAGGCAGTATCACTACAGAAGTAGATTTCCCCATCTTCCTTCCAAGGAGTGGGTGGTGGATTTGAACCACCAGCCCTCTGGTTAGCAGTCAAGTGCCTTAGCCAGTATGCTACCAGAGCTCCCATTTTTAGCTTTGGTGGGAAGAAAAATAATCTTTCACCAGCAGCCAGACACACAACCTCTTCCACACCTCAAAAGTTGGTTGGGACAAAAACAGTTTACTGTATGTGGTAGGCAGAATTCTAAGATGACCTCAATGAATCATGCCCTTATGATAATCGTCTTGAATGTGGGCAGAACCTATGACTTGCTTTTAGGCAAGAGAATATGCCAAAAGTGATGGGATGTCACTCCCATGGCTATGTTACCTAAGATCTATCTTAGCAGATTGGACTGAGAGAGTCTCCTGCTGGCTTTGAAAAACCGAGCTGCCATGTTGGGAGAGGGCCTGTGAGAGGGCCATGTGTCAGGAAACTGCCAGTCTCTAGGATCTGCAAGTGCCCCCTGGCTAACAAGGAAGTGAGGACCTCAGTCCGATAACTGAAAGGAACTGAATTCTATCAATGACCACATATGCTTGGAAGAGTTCCACAAAGGAACACAATGTGGGGGGTGTCAAGCTTAATTGGGATAACATGCTACACAAAATATTGTTCTATATCGCACTTTGGTGATTAGCAACTGGCGTCTTAAGAGCTTGTGAACAGCCATCTAAGATACAACAACTGGTCTCTTCTCATCCAAAGCAAAGAGATATGAAGAAAATGAAAGACATGTGGAAACAATTAGTCCAAGGAACTAGTGGACCATGTGAATCTCAGCCTACATGACCCTGAGACCAGAAGAACCAGATGGTGCCTGGTTACCACTGTCAGCCTCTCAGAAAGGAATCAAAATAGGAGATCCTGGGCAGAGTGGGATAAAAATATATAACAAAACTTAACCGTAAAAAAGATCAGGATTACTGGCCTGGTAGAAATTGGTGAAACTCCTGAGACTCTGGACACTAGTCACCCTCTGGCCTGGAATTGAACTCACCCCTGTAGCTTCCAGACAAACAATTGTTGTTGTTATGTGCCGTCGAGTTGGCCCCAACTCATAGCGACCCCTCCTTGGGTTTCCTAGGCAGTATCACTACGGAAGTAGGATTGTCCAACCTTCCTTCTGAGGAGTGGCTGGTGGGTTTGAACTGCCAGCCTTCTGGTTAGCAGTCAAGTGCTTTAACCACTATGCTACAAGCATAAGTGGTAGACAAACAATAGATAGACCTAAAAGGTGAACAATGACACCAGGTAGGTACACTCCATAGAGCAACCAACCAGGTAATACCAGAAGGGCCATATTTGCACAGGGAGATAGCTCAGAGGGCAGGAATGCATAGGAAAGAAGGACACAGGGAAAAGGTAACCACAAGGAGGAAATGGGAAGAGAGCTGTTACATTATGGGGATTGCAATCAACGTCATGAAACAAAATGTGTATGAACTGTTGTGTAGAAGATGAATTTGCTCTGTAAACTTTCACCCAAATCACAATTAAAAAAAAAAAGAAAGAAAGAAAGGAACACGAGGCAGTCAACACCTTGATTGCAGCCTTGTGAGACCCTGAGCAGAACACCCCGTTGAGCTGTGCCTGGACTCCTGACCATGGAAACCATGAGACAATAAATGTATGCTGTTCTTTTAACTGCGAAATTGGTAATTTGTAGCATAGCAATAAAACACTAATGCACTCTAACTCCTGATACATTTGTTAATGGAACCACACATATTAAGATAAACATACAAATTGCAAACATATCCAGATGTGTATACCATACTAAATTGATAGGAATGCCCAGATATATGCAGATCAGTGTCAGTCAGTGAAAACAAGCTCTGAGTCAAATGGGGCCTCCCTTTAGATGTGCACCTCTGCACATAACCAAAAAGGCTTCCTCTACTTTTTCCTTTTCTGAGGGCAGTTGGTTTGGATGAATAAGCATAAAGTTCTTAGAAGGGAAAGGAAGAGCAGAGACAGTAGTGGTCTCCTCCAGAACCTATCTAAGAATGGAAGTCATTTGTAGTGCCATTTACAGCATAACTTTTATAGTCTTGGTGCTGCCATAGTGCTTCCAAATATATCTAATATTTTCCCTTGTTCCTATCCCAATTGAGGGGTGCTCAAAGACTACACTACCCAAACAAATACCTTTGCTGCATGTTCCAGCCCGCCTTCCTCCCTGGAAGTTAGACAAAGGCTTTTCTTTGCCAGAACAGTGTTTTGAATGATGAGTAGAAAGTCACTAGGTAGGCAAGTGAGGAGCTCTGTTAGTATAGTGCCTAAGACATCTGACTGCTAACTGGAAGGCTGGTGGTTCAAACCCACCAGCTACTCCTTGGAAGGAAGACTGGGCAATCTACTTCTGAAGTGATATTGCCTTGGAAACCTCAGTGGCAGTCAGAGAGAGGTGGGCAAGTCAGAGAAGAACATTTTAAGTAGAGAGAACCATATGTTTTCTTTCTATGGCTTTTCATGGCAATGTGAAACAGCATGCTGTGTCAAGAGAATTGTAAATATTTTACTGCAAGGGAATATATTATAGGGCATTTCATCAAATGAGATTAAGTGAAACTATTTTGCAGACATAAAGAGCTAGGGAAAAAATGAGTTATTTCTGTTATTACTTCATAGGATTGTTGTAAGAACAAAACAACTATATGTGAACAGTAATGTTGCATTATAAGTTGAAAAGGCATTACTCAATAATTCTACTAAGATATACTGGCCGTAGCTTTATCATGGCAGATAGTAGAAAATGTGATTTTAATTCATCTTGTTAGAACTATTTATGACTTAGGCAAAAAGCTGACTTCTGCCACCTGAATTCCACAGAAAGATATGCTGAATAAAATATAACCAAGAATTGTTTTTTTGTTGTTGTTATTTGCCGTCAAGTCGGTCCCGACTCATAGCGACCCCTCCTTGGGTTTCCGAGGCAGTATCACTATGTAGGATTGCCCAACCTTCCTTCCGAGGAGTGGCTGGTTTAGGTGAACTCAAAGAAAGAGAAATTCCCATATGCCCATTAGCAGAGATAGAAATTTAAGCTGGATTGGGAAGGCTTGAGCTGATACTTCACCTATCAGGACTTTGGACTCAGAAACTGGTGAGTCCAGATGGGTGCTAGGGCTCTAACACCCACTTGGCAATAGCAAGTGTGATGCAAGAGGGGTGTGTGTGTTGGAATTGATGCCTTATTCTAGACACTCAAGGAGGCTTCATTGAAAAGAAACTAGAAACTCTAGGAAACTTTAACCACCATTCTAAAAAAAGTTTGCAAGGCAGCTTGTTGTCTGATTAAGATTGTTATTGCAGGAAAAACAGGAAATTGGGAAAAAAAAAAAAAAAAACCTAAGCTGGTTTTTACACAAGGTCTCTGGTAGCATAGTGCCTAAGGCTCTTGACTGCTAACCAGAAGGCTTTTGGTTCAAACCCACCAGCCGCTCCTCGGAAGGAAGGCTGGGCAATCTACTTCCCTAGTGATATTGCCTCGGAAACCCAAGGAGGGGTCGTTATGAGTCAGGTCCGACTGGATGGCACACAACAACAACAACAACAACAACTCAAGCTGAGAAAGTAAAACATAATATCCATTCATACATTGAAACCTTTACAGCTAAGGCCAAAAAAAGTCCAAGGGACATTTTGTTAAGATATTTTACAACTTATAGTTCACAGAACTCTGGCGGAGGGATAAACTCAAATAGAACTATAATAAAAAGTTACAAAACACATGAAGATGAAAACTGCCATGGGGGAGAATCAGCAAATGGAACAAATTGAATTTTTACTCCAAGAACTGGAAATTTCAGATACTTAGAAATACTGCAAACATGTTTAATATGATATATGTATTGAAGGAGTAGAAATCATAAGGAAAGAATGTGATTGTATGAAAAAAGGAAAAGCAGAATAGAAAAAATTATGAAAAATACATTTATTGAAATTAAAGATTCCGTGAGTGAGTTAAAGATAAGATTAGGCACAGAAAAGAGAGAATAATTTCACCAGACAGTAGACCTGAAGAAATGACCAGAATAAATCTGAAGTGGTTATAAGCAGTCCAGAGAGAATAAAGAGAGGGATAAGAGGGAATATTTGAAAGGATAATAGCTGATAATTTTCTGAAATTGAAGAAAGACATGAGTGAGCAAATTGCAGAATCATACAAACAAACTCATTGCCATAGAGTTGGATCCCACTCATAGCGACCCCTACTTGGGTTTCTGAGGCAGTATCACTATGGAAATAGACTGCCCAACCTTCCTTCCAAGGAGTGGCTGGTGGGTTTGAACGCCAGCCTTCTGGTTAGCAGTCAACTGCCTTAGGCACTATGTCACCAGAGCTCTCTACAGAATTGTACAGGGAGACAATATCAAAAGAACTAAAACCCACTGCCATCAAATCAATTCTGACTCATAGCAACCCTATGGGACAGGGTAGAACTGCTGCATAGGCTTCCCAAGGCTGTAAATCTTTACAGAAGCAGATTGCCTCATCTTTCTCTCACAGCTACTGGTGGGTTCAAACTGAAAACCTTTTGGTTCGCACCCAAATGCCTTAACCACTGTGCCACCAGAGCTCCTAGAGGGACAGTAAAGAGGAAAAAAATGAAGATGGGAAAAAGGAAAAGCAAATAATGAATGACAAATACAAAATAATATAGAAATAAGTTAAAAATTTGTATTTATAGTAAATGTAAACATTAAAAATACATATTAAAAGGCAATTTTAGATTG